TTATTGGAGAACAACAAAAGGAAAGGGAGGAGAAAGTGGAATTGGGCAGAGAGAGCAGTCAGATCACCATGCAGACCTGATAGTCTGGGCCAGCCCCGTTAGGGAGTTTCAGCTAACTCAACTCTTTTTTCTTGTATGTTGCTCGGTTTTTGTTTAGAAAAGAATGAGACAACTACCAGGCATGGGGCTGCATCCCTGTAATACCAGAATTCAGGAGGCTGAAACAGGAGGATCGCTGAATGCAAGGCTAGTCTGATCCATTGTACATAGCAAGACCCTGTCTCAACACCAAAGGACGGGAGAGCTGAATGTTGTCAGCTAACCAGACTCCTTGCAGCTAAGCAGGCAGTTCTTTCTTGCAGGCTCCATCAAAAAAGCAGCACAGGGGACTTAGTGGATTTTATGTAAGTTCTGAGATAACAACTGTATTAGTTCCTGGATTGTATGCATTAAGGCAATTACTATATTTGGGAATAGTTATTATGAAAAGTTAATTCAAGACAGTGGTACACCCCTGAGCCCTCCCCAATGTTGAAGAACAAAGTAGTTACGGCCCTTGGGATTCCTTAGCTTATTAGAATTTGTCACGCTACCAAGATATAAGTGTGTCTTTAGATTCTCTCTCGTTGTAGACCGAGCTACTGTAAAGACTGTGCCTTACTTACTTTTATACCTAAGGAACATTGCTCAAAATAAGAGCAAATCCTCAAAAATTAACTGAATGAATGTCAAAAGCGATCTCCTGGGCTGGGGATTTAGCTCAGTGGCTCTGGAGCCTGCTTCACAAGCGCAAGGATCGGCATTCGATCCCCAGTACAAAAACAAAAACCAAAAAACAAACAAACAAAAAATTCAAAAAGCAAAAGCCATCTCCTGCTTACAGTGGCTGTTTTTGAACAGTATCCTCTATGTTTATGTCATAGAAAGTGTTTTGCAAGCTCCCTTTAGTTACATATTCATGCAAGGAGGTTTGAATTGTCAGTTTGCAAAATGTGATCCAATGACAAGTGACTGAAAGTAAGACATGGTGGGGATGAGGGCAGGGACAGGTTTTACTGCAAGAAGGAAGAGGTTAAAAGCTTTAAGAAAATATTAGGTCAAGAGAAGGAAAGAGAAAGAAGAGAAATAAGGGAGGGAAGCAAGGAAAGAAAGGAAAAGGAAGTCAGGTCAGCCAATGAAAGAAGAAAAAGGAAGACAGGAGAGGAACAAGATAAATGAAAAGGAGACAGAAGAGAAAATAAAGTAGAAGAGGCTGGGCGTGGTGGTGCACGCCTGTAATCCCAGCACTCGGGAGGCTGAGGCAGGAGGATCACTATGAGTTCGAGACCAGCCTCGGCTACATAGTGAGTTCCAGGTCAGTCTCAACTACATAGTGAGACCCTGTCTCAAAAAACCAAAAAACAAAAAAAAAAGAAAATAAAGTAGAGCTATGAAAGGGGTTGAGACAGGCTTAGTGCTGGGCTGCCCAAGGAAGTTTCCATCAATAGAAGCCTCACTGACAGCTGTTACCGTACTGGTTTAATTAGTTAAATGGCATTATCTATGTCTAATGGGGGTGGGAGAGGTTAGAGGGATGGAAAGATTAGTGACCCAACTCCTTACATAGGCTGAAAGGAAAAAGATTTGAAAAAGCTTGCCAGGTATTAAAGAGAAAGGAGCTGTTTCTTCCCCAGTCGATTGGTCCAGTCCCATGTTGGGCCAGGGATTTAGCTCAGTGGTGCCACCACCTGCCTCGCACACGCAAGGTCCCGAATTCGATCCCCGGTATCAAAAAAAAGATTCCCATGTTACTGTTCACCAGTTATACTTTAAAGACCTATACTGTTCTGGTGGGGGCAACTAGGATCAATATTAGTTCTTTACCTTGAATTGAGCCAAAACAGGTTCACTTACCTCCTTCCTGTCCATCTTTCAGCCAACCTCACATCAGGACTCTCAGTGTAGCAGGAAGCAAGCACCATCCCATAGCACTGGCTGTTTCTGTCAACCTGGGCTTTTAATCCAACTTGGCTATTAATCAGCTGAGTGACTTAGGGCAGATCATTTTACTGCTTCCTCCTTTAGCACTAAGAGTCATTGATTTGCCATTTCACGAAGAAAAAGTCTAGAGAATTTAGGAAATTTGATTCTCCCTTGGAGGGGGCAGGGGTGGGTGCTGAGGATTGAATTCATGGCCCCTGACTTGCTAGTCAGATGCTCTACTACTGAACTACACTCTCAGCTTTTTTTTTTTTTTTTTTTAACCTGGGATCGAACTCAGGCTCTTGCACTTATGAGGCAGGCATGGTGACACTGAGCTAAATCCCTGGCCTGAGGAAACTTATTTTTACTTTATTGCAATACTGGGGACTAAAGCCAAGGTCTTTGCACTGAGCTGCATCCTTAGTTTTTTTTTTTTTTTTTTTTTTTTTTTTTTTTTTTGGTACCGGGGATCAAACTTGGGTCCCTGTGCTTACATGGTCCTTATTTCTTTTTAAAACTTATTTTATTCATCTTGCTAAGTTGTCCAGGCTGGTCTCAAACATGTGATCCTCCTGCCTTCACTTTCCAGAGTGCTGAGATTACAAGTGTGTGCCACTGTGCCTGGTTTCTGGAAATTTTCATTCTTTAGGAAAGCAAGCTCTTAGAGGAGACAAACTTGAACTTTATTAAATTGTGGATAGGAAAAAAAATTTTTTTAAAGCTTCAATTCCCAGGCCCTCCATTTGCTTCCTCTTCTTCTTTTTGTTGTTTTTGGTACCGAGGATTGCACTTGGGTCCTTGCGCTTGGAAGGCAGGCCACCGAACCGCTGAGCTAAATCCCCAGCCCTGCTTCCTCTTCTTCTGTGGAGTTGGGGAGCAATCCCAGAGCCTCAATGGAAAACACTGTACCACCCACCACCAAGCCTCACCCTCCAGCTCCTCCACATTCCTTTCGGGGGTGCGGGGGAGCACTAGGGATTGAACCCAGAGCCTTTACACTGAACTCCGTCTCCAGGCCTCATTTTTGAGAGGGTCTTGTTAAGTTGCCCAGGCTGGGCTGGAATTTGTGATCCCCCTGCCTCAGCCTCTCAATAGTGCTGAGCTTACAGGCATATACCACCACACCCAGCTTCCTCTGCATTTTTTTTTTCCTCAAATTGTCTTATTGGTACATTTTAGATATATATTTAAATTCATCATGGGGAACTTGTACCTTTACATGATGTTATCTTGGTTATTTTTTCCCTATTCTCCTGTGCATTCTTAATGTTAAGAATTTTCCTTTATCTTATTGGTAGAAATTACTAGAATTGAATATTCCTCCATTCTGATCTCTAGGATCATGATTTTTGTTGTTGTTGTTGTTAGCGGGACTCAAACTCCGGACCATGTGATTGTGAGGCAAGTGCAGTGCCACAGAGCTAAATCCCCATCCCAGAGGATCATGATATTTAAGTCATCTGGGTTATACAGATTCACTGATGTCCGAAGACTGCCCTAGTCAACACCTTCCAACCTCCAAACCTCATCAAACCAAACCAACCAACAAACAGAAAAGCCTGGTGGTGCAAGGTCCTAGGCAAAGAGAAAACCTAGAAAATGATTAGACACAGTGAGCAAATCCCTACCTTTGCTGGACATAAACTCCACAGGAGAAACAATTTTCCATGGGGAAATTATGTTCCCTAGAGGTTGTTTTAGGACAAGGCTGGATAAATTAAATATTTCAACACCATATGTTCAGCTTTGGCAGGAGATGTAGGTGGGAAGGGAATCACTGAGTTAGGGAACGCCTGTATCACACCCCAGCTGGCTACTTAAGATACGAAATAAACACACACACATGCACACACACAAATATTTGGCCAAAACACCTTTAATGATAAAGGGGAAAACACTAGTATCTCCTGTCTGCTCTTGACATTTCACTACGTTAGGAAGCACCGGAGCCCACTACTGTACTTCGGAGGAGAAGCCACCATTCAAGTCAGCAATAGTCAACAGCAAAGCCTTCACTTTCTCCTCTTCAGAACTCCAGTTCCAAAGGATCCTATGTTAAGAGTTAAGCACTACACCTCGTTACAAGACAAAGAGGAGAGGAGGAACACCTGGAGCGTGTCTCCCCAAGTCTGAGAACCTAAGAGCCAGACAGGGGCAAAGACATACTCCTCAGTCCATGACCAGGCGAGAGCGGGGAAAGGGTCCTTGAGAGAAAGATGAGGAAAATACAAAGGGTTGGGGAATAAAAGAGGGGGTTATCTAAAACTAGAAGCACACTAGTGCTTAGGAAATCCCCCGTGATCCCTGGGGCACTGCTGCACACTCTGTCACTATTAGCCCAAAAGAACATTCATTAGAATGTTCACATTCACACGAATTCCAAGTCCCTCCCCTTATATCAGTGTCCATTTCTTTTCACCAGATTCCCAGGAAGCCCTATGTTTTAGCAGCATTTCTCAGCTTTCTGTCATTATTTTGTCAACCACCTTCACCAACAGAGCTCATGACATATATAAACTGGCTTCACATTTCCCAAAATGGGGGACCTCTTGGTAAGAAATCTGCCTGTTTATCAATGTTGAAATACAATGATGAACGAGAAGTTCTGGCATAATGATCGGCCAACATCTTGGCCTTAATGTGACTATGAAAGCATCTGCTGGAAAGAGTCCTGTACCCTTTGTTCCTCCCTACCTCCTTCAGTTGGGACACCAATTACTGGAACGTCTTCATTGCCAGCACCTTCTGGAGTAGAAGAGAGAAGGAATGTACGATTTGTTACTTTTCTAGGATGGGCTTTTTATGCAAAGTTTCAAGTGCCAAGAGGCTGAATCAGGAAGGGGACTGTCTTCTCCTGGGCCTCTCTGGATCCTGTTGTTGGAACTACCTGCCCAGGCACAATTCCTGGACTAAACAACACTGGTAATACCAGCCTGAAGTGTAGTGGAGGAGAAGCTGGAGCTCCCGGGTGTGCAGTGCAGGCCATGTGACAAGAAAGCAGTATGCTGTTTGCAGAAAAGTAGGGAAGTCACCCCTACCAGCTGGGAAGGAAGGTCCTGGGACGAGCAGTCCTGCAGTGTGAACTGGTCACCGGCGAGTGGCACTGGGTCTTTGGATACATCTGCCAGCCCCTATGGGCTGGGCTGTGTGCGGGTTCAGTGATGGGTGCTTAGGTGCACCGGCCAAAGAGAAGGAAAAAGGAGAAAGGAGAGAGCTCCCGTTGAAAATGTAAAAGCTGCAGAGGATCTTTCTTCAGGTAGAAAGAATGAAGGAGAAATCCTCAGGGGGCTATTCCCATGTAAGCACAATTTCCAAGCTAAGGGATTAGGGAAAAGCCACTGGAGATATCATGTAAGAACTCAGAGAAAGACAAATAAGGGCTCATAAATCTTAGAGGGCCTTCCACGGAGCTCTCGGCTTCTGCTCCCTGGGTCAAAGGGTGGCAGGTACAGAAAAACTGGCTCATGGGATTGTGGGATCATCTTTTCGAGGGAAAGGGGAGAGCCCTGGGGAAGTGATGGATGGCGAACAGCCAGGGACCAGTGAAAGAGCAGCAATATTCTGAGGGCCATGGGGAGCAAAGGGCTGTACCTGGTGGTGAGCCAACAGCATATGCTTCTTGAGAGTAGCCCTCTCGAGGAAGCCCTGCCTGCAAAAAACACAAGTGAAGAGTGGCCCCTCCTTGGGGTGGGTCTTCTGATGCTCCTCCAAAGCTGCCTGGCTAGGAAAGGCCTGGCCACACGCTTCACAGGCCTTTCTGCCACTGCTCTCTCCTGGCTCCTTTCTCATGGCTTCCTGCAAGCTCAGCTCCTCCACCAAAGGGGTGCTGATGCTTTCCCCTTCTGGGGTGAGTGCTGTCACCGGGCTTGAGCTCCTCTCTGGTTTGCTTCCCTCTCCCATGCCTCCCGAAACGTCACTGGTCTCCTGCTCCATCGGCTGGGGTTGATCCAGACTGTCAGCTGGTGGTGGAGGTGGTGGCAGACAAGGCTGCTGAGCTGCTTTCTCACTACCGTCCATCTCCTTCCCTGCGGCTGTTGCTGTCACTGTTCCCACCTCCTCCTCTGCCCCAGATGCCTCCTCCGAATCACCTCGTACTGATATTGCCTTCTCGCCTCCACTCTCTGAGCCTCTTCCTGCCAGGGAATCTTCATCAGTCACATCCTCCTCTTCTTCCTCATCCTCGTCATCTTCCTCTGACAACTCCTCCAGTGATGGCTGCTGTGACTGCTGCTGGGGGTAGCTCCCTGCCCCCGAGGCTATACCCTGCTCAGAGCCATTCTCCTGGGCAGCACCTCCACCCTCAGGAACAGTGGCACCGCCATTGGGGATCTGGCCCCCTAGATGCATCCGAACATGCTGCTGCAGAGTGACAGCATTAGTGAACTTCTTCTGGCAGATAGGGCAGGAGTTCTGGGCCCGGGCAGCTGGGCTGGCTTTGTGGCCCACAAAATGTGCTCGCAGATTGCCCCGAGTGGAGAAGGCTCTGCCACACACTTTGCATTTGAAGGGTCGCTCACCTCCATGTTGGCCGTAATGCAGGCGCAGGGCCCGAGGGCAGCTCAGCACCCGGAGGCAGATGACACACTGGTTGGGTCCCGAAGAGGCCGAGGATGAAGGTGCAGGGGAAGAGGTGGTGGGTGCTCCAGCGGCAGTAGAAGCCACCGCCACAGCTCCTTGCCGGTCAATCTTCTCTACCAGCTGCTGCAGCTTTGATGTCTCAGAGGGTGAGGCCCCTAAGGGCTCTAGCACGTAGGGGAAGGGGAAGCTGCCAGTGGACTTGAAGTGGTTAGTAAGCAGTGCCCAGCTCGGTAGCGAAGTAACCAGCTTGCTTAGCTGCATGCGAGTTGCTGTGCCACTTTCTGCCACCCCACTGATGGCTGACCCCTCACCCCCTGGGGGAGTGTTTTCATCAGCCTTATTCTTGGGTTCTACTGCTTTCATGAGCACGAACTTATTGAAAGCAGGGAGCCCAGGAGCTGTGACTGTGCCTGCACCGGTGGAGAGCAGTGTCAGGCTCTCTGTGGCACTGAGAGCTGTGGTGGAGGCCACCAGAGGCTTGCGCTCAACACCTCCACCTGGAGTGGCCACCTCCTCCTCGGCCTTCTCTGGTGGCACAGACATTCCATAGGGCAGGCCACTGCTGGTGATGACGTAGTCTAGGTGCTCCGGCACCGGATGTGGGTTCATCTGCACGTGTGGGTACTTCTCTCGATGCCGGTGGAAGTGCACTTTGAGGTTGCCTCGGGTGGTAAAGCGGTTCCCACAGACATTGCACTTGTAGGGCCTCTCACCGGTATGGGAACGAAGGTGGATCTGCAAGGCGCTGTCGCTGCCAAATACTTTGGCACAGAAGCGGCATTTGTGCCTCCCACCAGGCTTCTCCAAGGGACCCATCACTTCCCCATAACCCAGCTCACCACTTCCATTCTTTGGCTTCAGGAGCCCAGGGGAGGCAGCAGCCTCAAGGCCTCGGGCTGTCCCGAGGCACTGTGCTGCCAATAGTCCTGTGCTGCCTGGGAATGCCAGATGAGGTGAGGCAAGCAGCTGATCTGTGCTGCCAGTCAGGGATGAGGAGGGGGTGGGGGCAGGTTTGTGGCTTCGTCCAACCCCTCCAGCAGAGAAGGGATGCTGCGACCCCAATGGGTGGTAAAGGTGGAAGAAAGCCTGCTTTGGCGCTTCTGCCCCTGAGGAGGAGGAAGAGGAGGAGGAGGAGGAAGAGGAAGGTGCCAGTGTCTTGCCAGATTGGACAGGCTTGATAGGGCTGAAGAGGGGCAGTAAGGGCTTGGTGGAAGAGGCAGTCCCTGTCCCAGGCAGCTCGGAGGGACTGGCGGGGGCACCCACGGTCTGGCCTAGGGAGCCCAGCAGCAGCACCTGCCGGCAGATTTGCTCGGTCATTTGCATCTGGTGGATCTGGCGCTGCTGCAGCACCCGCAGCTCTTCCAAGATCAGAGGGATGTTCAGGTGGCCGCTGCCTACTCCTGGGGGTGGAGGTGGAGGCGGTGGAGGAGGGGGTGCAGGGGTAGATTCTGGAGGTAAAGGGGTTGCTCCCAGCTTGGGACTGGCCAAGATCAGGCCCCCGCCTCCCCCAGCCGCTGTACCTGTGGCAGCGACCAGGAAATGCCCGGTAGATTCCTCTCCTCTCCGCTCTTGGCCCCAGGTAGGATCCATGGGCCCGGAGGACCCGGAATCTGGGGGGTTGCTGTGCTCTATATCCATGACCTGAGGACTACTGTGGCCCTCAGGCCGGGGTTCAGAGGCCACAGAAGAGTTGCTGGGGTTCTCCTGGCCCCCAATTATCACCATTACAGGAGGGTCAGTAGAGCATGCGTTCTGGTGGGCGAGGAATTCGGCTGGGTCAGTGAACTGTGCGCAGCATTTGGCACAGACTTGGGGGCGGTCCCCCTCGCCAGCATCACCTGGGGAAAAGGAGAAAGAGAGCGTGGGTGGTGCAGTTGGGTTGGGTAGACAAGGCTCTATCTAATTAACCAGGAGCCCAGGAACCGCTAGCCGGGGGTGGAATGAGAGCTCACCATCAGGCTCTGCAGAAGGCTGACGCGAGAGGACGCGAGAAGCCCGAGCACCCGCCAGCGGGGTCCACGCGCCCGCGACTCCCCACCTCCATCGCCCTCCTCCGTTTCCGCCCCGGGGAGTGGAAAAGGGTGAGAGGC